TGTTATGTCAAATTTATATTAAAGTTTTTCTTCATTACCCATTCAAGCCATCTCCAGCCATCATTAGTCTCAAAGTTGGTTCCTCGTCATAGAATTTGAATCAATAAATAAGTTTAAAAAATTCTGTTACTGCTGGGAGCAATGTCTAAACACATCAAGCTCTCCTTATGAACTGTCTGCTTTGAAAGATAAAACAAAATAGATAATCATCTGGATTATGTAATTTAGGATCTGATATTTCTATTGGTTATAAACCTGACCAGTAACAATATCAAAGATATAAATATTTATTGAAAGATTGAAGTCATGGAAGGGGCATTTCATGTGATTTGAACAAATAGAGTGATATATCAGTAAAGCAAAAAGATAATAGTTGGAAGTTTTATACTCTGTCTTGTCAGTATCTATATTTTGTGTTTCTAATTGGTTGAACAATCTGAAGCCTTTATTACCTAGAAGAAAAAAATATGTGAATCAGAAGTCAGAGTGCCACCATGTCACGTAACTCAAAGATACAAATTTAGAATTTATTTGAATATATCCTTTCAAAATTAAAATATTTAGCCTTATACAATATAAACATTTGAATTATAAACTGTGCTTTGATGTCAAGTTTCTTAACATACATGAATAATGTAGAAGTTTAATTAAATCTTGAATATAAATGTAAAATGGTTGTGATATGCACACTTTGATCCTCCCATGTGCATAGCGTTAAATAATTGTGAAGGTATTTAAGAAGGAGCATAAGTTATAAAATGTATAAACAAAATGTTTATGTTGTTTTGTAATTTTTTAGCATGTTAAAACTTATTTTGCTTGTTTAGTTGTTAGTGGTGACATGACATAAAAGTTATATTAAATTAATAACTATTAAATTAATCAATGTATCTTAAGTACACTATTGAAAAAATTGCAAATGAATAAATTATATACTTTCAATTTCATATTTTACAAGAAATGTTTTTAGTTCATGTTGCTGGTGAATATTGATACTTGATACAGAAGCTTGTGAGTTCTGTTACTGTGGAGATTCTCAGTTGGCACTATTTCTCAAGAGATTTGTCATTTTCAAGCTGTTAGAAGTGTATTTGTAGCGTGTCAAGGTTTGGTTCCACTAGTGAAGAGATTGGATATGTTGAAACTGATTGTTGTGGCTTCTGAGGTTATCACAGTTGCTTTTATAATCTGTACAAAATGGCTGAGTTATTAATATGATACCTAGCTGTATTTCAGGTTAGTAATAATTTAATGAAATTAAATATTTATATATTACTTATTTTACCTCCTCTTTGAAATTCAGTTTTGTGTTTAAGGTGTGTTGAAGTGATTATTTGCAGATATTATCAAAAGAGAAAAAAAAAAAAGGGATATTTTATGATCTCGTCATCAATAGTTCTGTAATTATTTTTAGGTATTCTGAAAACCTATTTTTTTTAGACATGTGAAACTATTATTTCTTTTGTGGTAATTGGTTTTAATACTGAGATTTATGTGGTCAATTTTATGAGATTATTTTTTGTAATGTTCTTGCAGAAAGGAAAATCTCACCAGATTCACACAGTGAAAATGAAGATTTGGTGGTTAGTGAATACTTTTTTAAATTAATTTTTGTAAATATAAATTGTTTTTTATTTTAATCAAATGAACTAAAATAAAAAATATACTTGATTTTTGTTATTATAATCCTGTTATTTTAGAATGACTGGCTACTTTATTAGGACCAGACCCATGCACATTTGTTTCATTTAACCCTATCACAATGGAGTCATATATTTTACACGACCTGTAACCACCATGCAACCATGGTGGTATACATACTATGATTCCAAAGTACTTAATGTATCTTCACGAAACTTGGCAAGCTTTTAGAAAACTTAGTATTTTGGAGATAAAAAATCAGAATTTTTATTTGTGTATTCTTACTAAAACTGATCGTAATTATACGTGTCAGAGTGTTGACTGCTCCTAGTGCAAAGTGATTTTCATGTTAAGATTAAAAATACTTTTCTCTATCTGAAAAGTTTCAAATTTTGTTTGCATAATCCCTAACCTCGTAACCATAGAAAATAGGAAATGAATCTAAATTACTCTTTTTTTTTTTCTTTCTGGAATGACTACAAATTGTAATAGGAAACCACAATTGTATATCCTAAGTAGCATAATGCTTGTAACAATATACATCTATTTATACTTAATTGTTTGTTTTATTGCTTTTTGAACCATGTCTAACTGATAACCCTGCCATACAAGTTATAAATCACTTGGCAAACGTGAAGCTCATGTTATGCTATCGAATTATATAATGCAAGTGTTACTCACAAGCATATTATTATTATTTTTCCTTGTAACTTAACCGTATCTAACCTAATAAGTTTCTATTTTTACGTTTTAGTTAATTTTATAATATCAAATAAAGAATGCACGTGAAAAAAAAATATATATAGTACCCATCTGGGTCTTTTTTTCCTGTCAACTGTTGATGAAACTTAACCCTACTCTTTTATACAAATGGTACTACTGCAGTAATTAATTTTTTATTTAATTAAATAATGCACCTAAGAACACAGAATAATAACATGAAAAGCAGACAATGTCCTATAACTATCATAATTTTTCTAGCTTTCTAACTATGAGATAAGAGCCATTAAAAATTCAGCTAAGATCATCAATGTATTTTCTGTGGGAATAAAATTTGAAGCAAGATAGACAATTCTTTGTACAGTAAACAGTTTAATATAATACCTCATTTGACAGATATACTTTGCCTGAGTAATAGCTGTATTATAATAAGTATTTACATTAAAATCCTTGCTTTTTGGAGGGATGGTAAATAAATTAGAAAAGAGGAAAGACTTAGAGAGCAAATGTTACAGTTCTCATATTGAGGTTGAGGAGTTTCTTTAAATATTGCCCTATAAAATTAAGAACGTAACACCTAAATGATATTAAAAATTTGATGTATTAACTACATATTGGGGCCAAATTGAGTCGTATACATTGATAACAGTTTAATTAAAATTTGAATGTAACTGTAGAAGGTTATGACATGCACACTTTGACCTATTTGATGCAAAAGAGTTAATTTCATATATAGAAACAAAGATAATGGATAGTATGTAAAGTGATTGCTTGAGCTAAGCAGATGTGGAGTTATAGTCATGTTATGGTTATTATGCAAGACAGTAATTAAATAACAAAATTCTTCCCAGGTTTAGTGCCCATCAGTAGTAGCAATCAAAAGAAGATATATCCAGTATATACTTATACTATCTACCAATCTCTGATTACAGACTATAGGACACAGTTGATTGGGCAAGATATTTATTACCAAATTCTATGGATGTCAAACTGTGTTCCATTTACTTAAGAATCGAAGGCCATTAAATAGACTGTCACATGGTAGCTGAAGTGCAGCATCAGAGATGCTCAGAGTGCAAAGTGTAAAAACTGTATCATGTGTACTGAGCCATGATAAGTTATGTTTTTCCTTCTGCAGTGATAGTTGAGGCAAACTGCACAGAAAACCACACACGCCATTTGACCCTGCTTGTGCTGCAGGTAGTGTAATAGAAGTTGAATCCTGTAATAGGGAGTTCAGGTCAAATAAACTGTAATAAAAGAATATTGTTTGTTGCTAGTTCAGTAGAGATTTTTTTACTAATTACAAAGTTGAAAAATCAGATAATATTTTGTTTAAATATTCCATCTTTTTGTATCACAACCATAAAACACAATTTTATGCATTTTTGACAAAAATCAATCACTTTCATGAAATAAAAGACTGATAATTTTGGTTTGGATTGTCTGATTTAAAAATATTTTCACATATGAAGTCTTTATATGACCACTTTAGTTTTTTTTTTAATTCATAATACTCAAAAAACTGATAGGACCAAGATTCAAAGTGGTTGCCAGAATTCTACAAAATAATAAGTGTGTGTAAATTTACAATCATTATTGTTCAGGATCACTAATATTATTCAGTGCAATGCTATAGAAATAATTTTTCTACTAAAGGACATCTTTTTGCCCATTTTAAGATGTTTTTTTTTCATGGGCAGCCATTTTGGGTTTTGTGAGTCAAACAAAACTTATTACACTTCACAGAACTGTACCTTGCAATATATCAAATGAAGGCGATTTCATGGTGATGGTCAGAAAATTGTATTATATTCAGTTATCTTGCAAACATTTTTGACAATTCCAATATGGCTACCTTTCAAAATGACCATCATACATCTAACAAAAATTAGATTTTTAGATTTTATTATTCACTATATACTGCATCCTTTTTTTAAACTGGTGTTTCAAGAACACATGAATCATTAAAAAGTACTTAGATGCCTAATAAACTTAAAGTAGTTGTCTTGTAGCCATGTTGAAATCTTCAACATCAGAATAGTGCAAACCTCACATTAGCAAAAGTATGGCAAGCAATATATCAAAAAAGAGGAAATGTCACAGAGATTAATGATATATTGGCATCTTAAATGGGTAATGTGTCATATTTTTGATACATTTGACACATAATTATCACGTCTCCAGTCTTTAAGTCAACAAAAAGCAGGAAATTCCATACATTATCTTTGTCATTTTTGTATTTTATGTCATATTCCGTCTTAATGGTTTTTTTATGTTTAACAATGTTTTGTACAAGGTTTTGAGGATTTGTTAAAAATTCTGTAAGTTTCTCCTTTGACCTTTCACAATTGTTTTCTCTCTTGCCATTAAAACTTTTTCTCTTAAATATTCTATTCTTCCACCTGTGTGGCTCTTTCAACAGTAGTTTTATCTTGTTTTTTGTTGTTATTGGCAGCTATATCTTGTGACAGTTCTTGCACTATTTCAATAATTTCTTTAGAATTCCTGACTAACTCATTTGTTTTAAGTTTTTGCTTCTTGTTTGAGTACACCTTGGATCGTGCAAAGTTTTGAAACACATTTCACTTTCTTGTAATAAATCAATTGTTAATTAATACTTTCCTTTGTTTTCCTAGTTTAGCCATTTGTAAATGTGAGTCTTCTTCATCTGCCTTATTTCACACTTTACCCATTTCTTCAACTTGTCTCCTTTTAGCTTTTTCCCTCTTTACTTTTTTTCTCCAACTTTTGTAGTCTTTTTTTGTTTCAAGTCGTTTTTCTTTTTTTTGACATTGTCTGCCTCGCTCTCTTTCTGTTTGTTTGAGCTTCAACAGTAAGTTTGCTTCTTCATGTTCCGCCTTTTCTTTTAGCAATTTGAATATTTTATTATTCATCCATAGTATTAATACAGGGTGTCCACAAAATTCTTCTCTGGTTTTAAAAGTTTATTGGAACAAAACCGAAAAGAGCTGGCATTATGCAGTTTTTAGCACCTTGTTGCTTAACTAATGAAGTTTTTTCTTGATTTATAGAATGTAATCAGAGTGTACAGTTGCTAATGATTGAGGTTTTGAATGAAGCTGGCACCCCCACACCTGAGAAAAATAAATGTATGCACTTTATATGCCTAAAGATGCAATCTCTTGTGTAGGACTTCATATACCATTGATCTTGGTAGCTGGAATTCACTTGAAGTATAACAGGTAGATTTTCTATGGCTGCTTTAAAATGTCTCCTGGACATCAGCAACAATTTCTTCAGAAACACCTGGACATCCACTTCAAGGCAAGTCAATCACACTTTCTGTCTCTCAAACTTGTGAAACCACCGCCTAATTCTGGGTTTGGAGGGAGGATCCTTGCCATATTGACGGCAGTAATTCCATTGAACAGTTGTCACTGATCTGGACTCTGCAAACCAGATAACACATTGAGCTTTCTGCTGTGTAGTCGCCATCTTTGTTCAAATATCAGTCATTATCAACTGGACACTCTGATTACAATTTGTAAATCAAGAAAAGAAACTTCATTAGTTAAGCAACAAGGTGCTAAAAAAGTGCATAATTCTAGCTCTTTTTGGTTTTGTTCCAATAAACTTTTAAAACAGGACTTTGTGGACACCCTGTACTTCTTAACAACTCATATTGGCTGATGGGTTTGTGAGCTTCAACGTGCCAAGAAGAACAAAGGTTTGTTCAGATGCAATGTTAATAGTTGATACATGTTTTCTTTTTTTTGTTGTTGTCGTTGTTGTTCTCTTGCAGCTGATCTTGCTGTTGTCTTTCAAGAATAAGAGGAACGTAATGCAATATAATCTCCAGAGCTTGTTGACATAAACTATCTAACTCTGGTTCGTTCGATTTAAATTGTTATTTTTGCATTATTTCTGCACATGTCATCAGTGTGAACAGAATGTATAATCAATGTTTTTACAATCTCATTGTTAAAGTTTTGGATGTTTTTGATTAAAATGCTCATAAAGGAACTTAAAATTACAAATGAAATCTTATTTATACCTGCATATAATCTAATTCTAGTTTGATTATGAAAAAACAACCACAAAAGTGTTTGTCATGATTTCTAGTTCCATTTTGTAACGTTTGCTATATTTCCAAGATGAAAGCAAGTGATGCAAAATCAAAGATTTCTGAATGTCCTGCTAATCATACTGGCAGTTATTGTTGTTATATGTATATATATAGAGACACCTGTTGGCTGTTCACCCATCTCAAAAGTTCAATTCATTCTATATGTTTTTCTTTGTTCAGACACTTTAAGGTTTCTGAGCAATATTAAAACAAAAATGACTCGCCTCCTCACACAGAAAAGCTTTCTTCCTCGTGCGTCTGCCTACGAGATTTGCATACCACTAGTCTTGAAGCAATTCTCACCTAATTTCCCATATTTTATTTTGAACTGTGCTGGTGCTTGATGACATCATCATGTGACAAAAGCCTTCTACCAACAGGATGGTGACAAACTCCATGCGCAGTAACTCTCTTTATGCACAGACATGTTTAAAATTTGCTGAAATTTGCACTAGTTAACAAAACTTTGGTTTTCGTTTTACTTTGGACTTAATCCTCATTGCTGCACTTTGTTACTATGATTTCACAAGTTAATGCAACTTCTACTTACTCCTATGTGAGTGAAGAAATTTCAAACACAGGACCTATTTCTACTATGGCTTCTGGAGGACCATTAACTGAGGATGACATGACAGACTACCATTGTGCAACAGGTTGTAGAGTCCATCATGCATTCTGGGCCTTTTGTTCTCATCCATTCAACTTGTGTCCCTTCTCCTCAATTTGAAATGGAACAAGTAATAAAAACTTTTTTTTTTAATTTTAGGATGATGTAGGGATGGCAATACCGAAAAGTACAGAAAAAAGGTAGGGATGAATACACGAAACCATACAAAACTCCCTACATAAGTAGCAACTAAGTCAATGTTACAAGCTTCATGCAAGTGAAAGGAATTCAACATTTAGTTGTAAATAAAAGATTTTCTTGGAAAGTTTGGTCTATGCCTGGTGTGATGAGTTGTCTTGATGTACATCATGTGTTGAATTTAGGGAAATACTATAGTGCTTCTGCACTCCTCAAGTTAAAATGAAACATTTTGGTGTTTAAAGCATTGTAACAACTTCAAATATTGGTGAGCTAACCCTTCTGATGCCAGAATCAGAGAACTCAGCAGAACATTTCGCTGTCACACTATTCGCCAGTTCTCTACTTTAGCTCACCAACCACTTGTCTGCAAATGTTTGAACAGCCAAGTTCTCATTCTGCCCATCCCTGTGACACATGGGGCTCATTTGCATATTCCACCCTTATATTAAGGGTGATGAGTATACCCTAGTCAAGACGATATGCAGTCTCCCATCGGTGTGTCCCTATAGAGCCCCTACCATCTAGGGGCTTCCCTCCAGGCACTTTCTGAAGTGAGCTCACCTAGGTACAATTTTGCACTGGACACTCCATTAATTTAACAGGGGATTCTAGCTTTTCTGTGTGAAGAGATGAATTACTGTCTTGGATGTTAACATTTTTCTAATCTGAAAATGCATTTGTGATAGATACTTTCACACACATTTCCACCTAATCTTCCCACTTCTGGTGCATATTTTCTGTCTTGCCTTATCAACAAATGAATTCTCATGAGTGCAAGTGCATAGGGAGAGTGACTACACATTGAGGTTGTGTTGCCTTCCTATTGGTGGAAGGCCTTTGTTGCATGATGATGTATGTCATCATGTACCAGTGTAGTTCACTTTAAAACATGTGAAATTAGGTGAGTTGCCTCAAGGCTAATGACATGCAAATCTCATAGGCAGACCTGCGAAAAATATAGTTTAACTGTGTGAAGAGGTGAGTATCTATCAGAAATTCATTTAAAGATTAGAAAAATGTTAACTTTCTCAACTTGAATTTTTTATATTTTTTTATTGAAACCATTGTTTGAAAATTCAGTGTTTATTCTGTGTATTATTAGCAACTGTTGACACATTGGGATGTCACATAACCTGAATTCCCTACCTTGAATTCCTTTAGAAGGGTGAATTACATCTAGAGTGTACTTGAATGTCATTAATATTCATGTCTACCTCTCAGTACTACATTTACAACCTTATGCCTAAAGGCTGCTTCATAATTATTATGCCACATTCCATCATACCCACATCATCTAAGACTTGTTCATAATGCACAACATACCTAAGCCAGAACAATCACCAGAGCTCAGTCTGAATGATAATCCTAAAAATGAACTTTAAAATCACATTTAATACTAGATCATCAGCTTATACCTGTAAATTAATTGTAGACTATACTTGTTGAATGGCTTTCAATCAAGCAAGACATCTTTCACTATTGTGTGTAGTCCAGGCCTCACTAACCTCTGGCTAATCTAATTGCAGGAGGATGTTTAACTTGATATTAAATGAAATCTTAATAAAGTGGGCAGTTAGTGTTTTTAATATATTTATTTGCTTTGTACTTTCTCATGGTTGAAAAATAAATGTATATTTAATAAACATTAATGTAAAGGATAAACCTATGCTACATACTGCAGCACAGTACAAACTATATCTGAATATCCTAAATGAAAGTGACTTGTACAGTTTTTATTTATATTTACAAAGTATGTTTTTTTTTGTTTTATTTTTATAGATACTTTTAGCTCGAGTCTACCTGCGACGTCTTACTCAGATGTCTTCTTCAAGTCATCACACTAGTGGCACTTCTGGCATGGTGTGTGTGAATTTATATGACATTTTCTTTTATCTAACCTTTATGCTGTTTATATTAAAACATTTCCAGACCAGTTGCATCTTTCAGGTGTTTAGTACACACCTACCTGTCAAATTACAAAATTTACATAAATATAATAATTCTATTTCAACAATACGTTATCTTAGAACCAATATTTTGTGAGTTTGTAACATTTATTTATTGTAATTTGCAAAAGAAAATGAAAAAAGTCCACATTGCATTTCAACTTGACTCTGAGGAGTCTTGCATATAAACATTACACTTATAAAGTTTTTTTTAGAATTTTATTACCTATTCTAAAGCATAGGTTTCTATTTGATAAGAAAAAACCATTACTTGAGAACTATAATTTGAATGTTTTGTTTCTTACATGGGTTTCCTTCTTTTTCTCTGATTCTATTAATATAGCATGTTGCACGTCCTTTTTATAACCTCGAAATATGTGATTTGAAAAATCACTAATGAAAGCCTGCTTCAGATGTAGCTACAGGTAAAGTTTAAATACTACTGGATAGAATGTTTTATAAACTACTTACATTAATGTGAGTAAAGTGCTGTGGAGAAGTAATTTATGGTTTTTGTGGGAAAGTAATTAGATGTAGCTCCTGCAGAGAAGAGCTGACAGAATTTAATAGGAAGTTTAGAAGACTTAGGAACAAACCACATATTTGTGATTTATTTAGACATTCTTGAAAATGTTGATGTTAAATTATATTTTTTTGAAAGCTGTGAAATTTTTCTTCAAGAAAAAGACAGCAGGAAAGACTAGTTAAGTTTTGAGGATTCAAATCTGGATTATTGGAGAGCTCATTTTAAACATGCTTATTATCCTGTTGACTCTCAGGTAATGCATTTGAAATGTGCTATCATGCAAGGAGACCATGTGAAAACTATGGTAGAGACAAGGAAGCAACACTGTTAGCAAAGAATATAGCAAGGTTTAGTTTGATTATTCTTTTGAATCCAGAGGTATTGTTAGCCATGTTCAGAGCAATGTCTTCAATATGAATTCTGCCAGTACTAGGACTTATTTTAATACCAGTACTCAGCACTGGGATTTATTTGATCTGCTTTTTGTCCAACCCTAAAACATTCCTTTGTATTGCCAGAAAGCAGATATTTCACAGCTCACAGAATCTAAACAGTTATGAACTATTCTTCAGATGAACCAATAAGTAACCAAAAAATATTGATTCTTGTTGGCAATAACATCATAAGGAGAAGTTCTTTAACAGCTTTGAGATCAATCATTATTAAAACAATCAGGTAGTGTTATTTGGCTGTATGACTTGCATTATTGGAAAGTAATGATAAATCCATTGAAATGACATGTTTTCTTATCTTATGCACTGTGATCGGTACCCCTCCACCCCAATAATGTGTAATGTCCTTTTGTCATCCAATAGAATGGGAAGTAAAAAAATATCAGAAATAAATTTGGAACTACAGGATTTATAACTTACTTGCCTGTTTAACATATATATTTGTTTCTTTAAAATGATCAAAACAGTGGTTGTATTGATATTTATTTTTTGTTAGTAAACTATATTACAAATTATACATACGAGCAAAATCCATTATTGTATGTTCATGTGAGTATTGGCACTAATTTGTTGAGAATTTCACCCCTCCCCAATGCAGCCTCAGATGGTTATACCTTGTATGAAGGAGCACAGATAAGGGTCACAGTGGCAGCCAGTGGCCTGAATGTCCCAAGACTCACTACACTGGATTTTGATTAACAGCTATATACTAACACTATTCAACAGAGATTTCATATATATTATAAATACTGTTTACATATTTGTAGGTAGTAGGAAGTACACACACAGATGAACTAAAATATGATGCAAAGTTAGAAATGTTAGCTAATACAAAATGGACCATTCTTATATTACTAGAAGCTGGGTATTTGTTGGTTATATGCAAATAGGATATTTAATAGCACCTACACTAATTTATTTCTACACTTATACTGCTAAATTCCACACACCCCTGGAGGTTTGAAAGCTAATACCAGTATATATTCAAAGTTTATGGGATCGGATTGGAGTTGTATCATAAACATTTATGCACATTCAAAGTGCTATTCTATTATTCTGAGCAATTCTCATTACAAGTACAGTCATGTAAACAGGCAAATAAATTCTACATTATGTTCTTGGAGCAGGAGATAGGTGGTGTTGGAAAAATGAGCTTGTTTGTTCTCAGAAATACCTCACTATGGCCCACAGAAACAGTAATGGCATAAATGGTAATTTTCCAAGATATTAAAGATCATAATGCAAAAAAACTAAATTTATTAAAAGTAACAGGCTTTATGTTTCTTGAACTACCTGCATTTGTCAAAGTACTTATGAATT